GTAAGTGCTTGTTTGGGATCAACAAAATAAATCTGTAACAGACATGCAGCGCTCCCATTAATTCAAAGATAAGTATAAATAAACATATGTAATATTCAGAAATTGTTAATGCATATATCAATGTAAGATTGTGAATATCACACAATTGTAAGTCCCCCTCTGAAGTTATATTCATAATTTCAATTTCAAATCAGGAACGTAGAGATGGGTGACAGTCTATAAATAGCCGGCGGATGATATTCGTGATAAAAATAAGGAAATGAGAATAGGTTGCACTAACCAGATAGCGCTTTATTTAGCGCATGTAGATGATGAAATCATCTGGGTATAAGCCTCTGAACCCGGGTATTCCAACTGGTGGTAGCCTCTATCCTAGCATTTCTGCAGGGTTTCTGAATGGCAGAGAACTGATTGAAGACCACCGGAGGGAGCCAGCAACCAGGATCTCTTCACAGACCAGATGTCCCAAATGGTGTGGTGTGTTCATAGGCCACCAGAGGGAGATCTGAACAGTGTCTCACGATTTCCTTAGGGAGAATTGGCTCAAGCAAAAAAAGAAGAGCCAGAGAACAAAAAATCTCTAAGTGCAAACTGCTTTATTTAGGTGTAGAAAAAATATTGAAATTGCAACTCACAGGATATTAGAGTGGCCCGATGGCCAAGCAGAAGAAGTCCACGTGGATAGAAAGTCACTGAGGGTTGCTTTCTAACATGTTTCGTGCCACGCACGTTCGCAAAGAAAGAGATGTACCACACCATTTGGGACATCTAGTCTGTGAAGAGATCCTGGTTGCTGGCTCCCTCCGGAGGTCTTCAATCAGTTCTCTGCCATTCAGAAACCCTGCAGAAATGCTAGGATAGAGGCTACCACCAGTTGGAATACCCGGGTTCAGAGGCTTATACACAGATGATTTCATCATCTACATGCGCTAAATAAAGCGCTATATGGTTAGTGCAACCTATTCTCATTTCCTTATTTTTATCACGAATATCATCCGCCGGCTATTTATAGACTGTCACCCATCTCTACGTTCCTGATTTGAATTGAAATTATGAATATAACTTCAGAGGGGGACTTACAATTGTGTGTGATATACACAATCTTACATTGATATATGCATTAACAATTTCTGAATATTACATATGTTTATTTATACTTATCTTTGAATTAATGGGAGCGCTGCATGTCTGTTACAGATTTATTTTGTTACTCCTAGAGGTTTTGAGGTTTTACCTTTCCTTGCTAGCTGCTCCACCACACAGATCTAGCGCTCGTTATTTTCAGATATTCTTGTTTGGTATTGCACATATGCTCCCATAGAATTAAAAAAATTTGAACTCCAAGCATATTTACAAGACACATTCATGCAAAGTATACAGTATTTTACCCTAATAGTCCATATCCCTGATATATGCCTGTGTTACCATCTTCTTGCATTAAAACATATCCCTTTCTCTTTCATAGTTACATAGTAAGTCTGTTGAAAATAGTCCACCCAGTTCAACCCACAAAGAAAAAAAGAAACCTCCATATACACAATCCTATACCCACAGTTGATCCTAAGGAAGGCAAAAAAAACACAATAAAGTGTGATCCAAATTGCTCTGGGGGAGGGGACATTTTTGCCTGATCCCCCTAGAAGCAATCAGATGTTCCGTGGATCAACTTTACCTATAAATATTAGTATCCAGTTATATTCTGTGTATTTAGGAAAGAATATGAGGCCCTTTTTAAACAATCTACTGAACTGAGGGGGACAAACAGTCCACAATATATAATCCATTCTTTTGCTTGATCCTCAAAAAAAGTGCTGGGCATATACCTTCATAAAGTGACCCTGTGCTCTTCAGTGCTCCGTGGCCCCCCTCAGGTGCTCCCACACTCACCGGAAGGTATTGACCCCTTGCAATAAGCATAAAAGTCAAAACAGCTTTGGAATTGTTTTTCTTGAATATTATACACCACTCCCCTGGACTCCTCACTCCACTCCTGCTGATATTATCATGGAGACTCCACAGCTTGGATGGAGGTATATATACAGTCATCAATACTCAGACAGTTATATGGACCAAAAGGAAAGAAGACTTCTCACACCAACACTGGAATTTTTTTCTCCTTCCAGGGACCCCTCCAAAGCAAGGGCATTTTTCTGTCATCATTTTCACAAGGTGACAACCTATGCCCTGCATTTAAACACTTAAATTCACAAAAGGCATACAATCACTGTGCAGCCATTACCTAGTATCGATAAATTATTCCTATTAAGTGTAGCCTGCCTAGCACACCACTATTAGCCCTGATGTAGATGTGTTTTTACACGTCCCAGTGCTAAAGCTGGCTGTAGATGGATCAAAAATTGGCCGGTTCTTCAGGGACCCGTGGAATTTCGATCCATCTATGGTCTTGCTGGAAAATTTTGCTTCAGTTAGTGCATGCAGATAACCAGCTGCAGCACTGTTCAGTGTGTTCTGATGACGGGAGTTCCACTGTCAGAATACAATAACACAATGGGGAGGATTTATTTATTATTTTATTACAGGTACTTATATAGTGCCATCTATTTACGCAGCGCTTTACATATATTGTACATTCACATTAGTCCCTAACCCTCAAGGGGTGTACAATCTAAGGTCCCTAACCCTCAAGGGGGTACAATCTAAGGTCCCTAACCCTCAAGGGGCGTACAATCTAAGGTCCCTAAACCTCAAGGGGTATACAATCTAAGGTTCCTAACTCATATTCATACATACACATACTAGGGACAATTTAGACAGGAATCAATTAACCTACCAGCATGTGTTTGGATTTCCCTATCCACCTTCGAATATGTGGATGGGGGAATCGGTTCATTTAATTTTTGTTTGGCCCATTGGCTGAACAAAAAAACAAGTAGGGCCAAAATTATGTGAACCAATAACTTCCTGTGCTTTCTGACTATGCTGCAAGCTTTATGAGTTGTATCAGTTCCTAGCTTGACTGACTGCTGTCCCACACTGATCAACAGGCAGGATGGTGTTACATACTCCTGACCTTTGCACTCTATCTTGTACTGTGTGTTCTACTCCTGATCCATGCATTCTATTCATTCATTGAGTATGACATACTCCTGACTGCTACAATGTATACACTATTTTATGTTATATAGTCCTGACCAGTGCACTCTGTAATCTGTGCTAGAAATTACAGTTTTTTCACAGAGTTTATTATCCATAGTGTTTTATTATGTTATATTAACAGATGCTGGTTGCTATGTAGTCTATGAAGTTCTTCTTCAAAGTGATAAATTAAAACAAACAAATAAACAAACATGTCAGACCTGCTCTGTGCAATGGTTTTGCACAGAGCACACTTCTCAGGTCCTCCACAGGCGTTCCTGGCTCCTCCCCCCTGCTGATTGCCCCCATAGCAAGTTGCTTGCTATGGGGGCACATGTGACTGCTCAATCCTGAGCAGGCTGTGTATATCCATAGATACACAGAGTGTGGATAAGCCCCACCCCCTGCTCCCTCCTAACTGGCCAATTGCTCTAGCTGCTGTCTCTGAGCCAATAAGATAAGAGAGAGCTGGGGTAGCTGCTGCTCTCCTGCACATTGCTGGATCGAGATTGGGCGCAAGTAAGTATTAGGGGGGGCCGGGGGTGGGGGAATGTGCTGCACACAGAAGGAATGCATGAAGGTAAAAAAACATTCAGTCTTTAGAACAACTTTAAGGTAGGATCAGACAAAGTGTTATCTGTCTGCCTAAACTCTAATCATATGTAATTAAAAGGTTTCGGTTTTAAAAAAATGATCCTTTGTGCTGCGGGATATGTTTGTAGGACCTCTGTAATTAAGAAGTAAAAGGAACACAGCATATATGTCTTGTATATACTAGATTCAATTAAGCCTGATATTTCACTGTAATGTAACCATGCCCATTATTTGCCATGGTTCACTATGTTCCTGATCATGTGACCACTATGACTGGCTGTCACTTAATTGGGAGCCCACCCCAATCATAAACAGTGACCAAGAGCTGTCGGTCATTGTACTGGAAGCCAACCCACCAGCCAAGTTGCATTATGCTGGTGTGAACAGGTTAATATGTAAAATCTGATTGGTTAAATCCACAATTGCTTTTTACTACTTCCCTTCCTTTATACTGGCTTTACTAGAAGTAAACAATTTTGTAATAGATTTTTTTTTTAGAAAGGTTTGTAAAATAGATCAAAAAGAGGTACAGTATGTTTGTTTCTGTGTGTGATGTGATCTCGGATAAAAATACATCAAGTCTCCCTGCAGCACAATCCTAAAATGCTTCAGAGCCTATTTGTTTTATTTGTGACTTCCGCGTACTTTTATACAGAAAGTTTGTTTACCTGGTGCATTTGAGAAGCAGTGTGGGATTTCCTCAAGTGTTGCGTCTGACCTAACTCCAGTTTATGAATCCTTTTGAGTGTTTACTCCTTATTTTCTGTCCAACGTTTTTGGAATGTTTTTGGGTCTTCACAGTTTTCGCTGCTTTTTTTTTCTTTTTGCTCATCTTAGTAATGGCTTTGCTTTTTTTTCTTTTTACTGACAAAAATGTACTCAGTACATTTGAAATACACATTAAACACTCATCGAGGAACTCACAGTCAAGCAGCGGAGGGTCAGTGGTGGAAGGCCCAAGCTGAAGAGAACACTTGCCAAGGGAGTTTGAGTCTGGCGTGGCCAGTCCAACCCAAGAGGGAGCTTGTTGAAGTGTAGATGTAGGTCTTGCACTTTCCCTGCTCCTCTGGAACCTTACCCTACCACCAGTGCTGTACCTGTTAGACAAGTAAACTTTCCCTACACTATATACCACAAGATGTAAGGCGAGCGCAGAAAGTAAAGTAGCTGCTAGCACAAATTGGGCAAAGGTAACGAAACCCAGAATACTGAATACAGATAAAAGTGTGGCGCTAAAAAATAATTCTCCAATGCAATAATAAAGTGCTTAAGTGAATATAGTGAGCATAGAATATCAGTGTGATATAAACTTGATAAACATATCAAATCTTAACCACTTGCCGTCCGCCTACTGTTTATAAATGGCAGGACGGTGGCACTCCAGGCGTGGGTTGCCATTCATAAACGGCACCCGCCATTTTGGACTGTGCGCGCTCCCAGGGAGCGCGCAGCACCACGAAGCGGTGCCCACTGTGTCCTCCGGACACAGTGAAACACTGATCGTCGGACGGGATCTCTGTACGAGGTCCCGATCATGTGAACACTGATTGGCAAATCAGTGATTACATGCAAAGTAGTAAGCAAGATGTCACTTGTGACATCATTGCTTACTATGTGTGAAATCTGTGAATGATCACAGAGGTCACATGGTACAAGGCTATTCACAACAGCCTTGTACCATGTGACCAATCATAGCTCACTCAGTAGTTCTCAATGGCTGCAAGAATGCAGACAGAGAGAAAGAAAATTATTGCTTTTACATCCTATATGGTGTAAAAGCAATCACTGTAAAAAAAAAAAAAAAAATCTTCATCACCCCCCACAAGTAGTACAGTGTCACCATGGTGACACTGTACTGCTAGGGTGACAGTATGTAAAAAAAAAATAAATAAATAAATAAATAAGAATATAAAAATGTGAACTTTTTTAAAAAAAATTATAATTTTTGGTTATAAACTAATTTGACTTATTTTTTTTTTTACTAAAAAGATAACGGAATACATTTTGGCCAGGATTTATGATGAAATATTATTTATTTGCAAAATTCTATAAGAAAAACACTTTTTTTCTACATTTTTGGACTTTTTCATTTACATAGCAAAAAAAATAAAAATCCCAGTGGTGAATAATTACCACCAAAATAAAGCTTTATCTGTCTCAAAAAATGGTAAAAAATTCATATGGGTACAGTGTTGCATGACCGCAAAATTGTCATTCAAAGTGTGATAGCGCTGAAAGCTGAAAATTGCCCTGGACAGGAAGGGGGTAAAAGTGTCCGGACAGGAAGTGGTTAAGAATCAAATAAAATTGTCCGTGTCACTACAAATCTCAGCAGTCTAATTCCCTACACTAGCCACTTCACAAATGCGTGCCAAAACCTGGGGGCAGGAACTTAAAAAGACTCTGCTTGACCCAAGATAGCCACCAGGATCACCTGGAAGCAGTGTAACCGACTGGAACGCTGCTCCAGGGGGCCAAGTAAATCATAGAAAAAACAAGTTTCTCGTGACTTCCTCTCCAGCTGTAGTACAGCTCCAGTCTAGCGCCACTTACAGTGGAGGAAACAGACTGCACTTACCTCATTCACCCTTTAGTTCTGGTTTAACATATTACATCCTAGGAATGTACATATTTTTCTTAAATCCTTGCACTGATTGCAATTAGTCCAGGGTGCACATGAAACCTGTACAAGATTACCTTATGAGATTGCTGCTGTAACAATAATTGGTTTTATTCTTTAAAGTGATTTACTATTTTTTTTAATATTTAGGTGTATATTCAATTATTTCACTTCCTTCCTTCCTTCCTTCCTTCCTTCCTTCCTTCCTTCCTTCCTTCCTTCCTTCCTCCCTTCCTTCCTCCCTTCCTTTTACAGCTTTCTGTAGGCCCATCAAAGAGTGCTGTTTTGCACCAGATGTAAAGAGCTGAGGAGAACAGATTAAACAGACTGTTCAATGACTCACACATTTTTTTCCCATAATAGTCATGTACTGATCTATGTTGTGATTTTGAAATGATTTTCCATAGGAAAGGCTTTAAAATGCCCTTTTCTGTTAGTTGAAATGCACTTGCCCTCCAATGTTCTGTATTGGTATAGCTGAGTAATGGCCACATCTTTCATCACAAGTGTTTGCATGCAGACTTGTAGGTCTGAGAAAATGTGTGTGTGGTGGGGTGGGGGGAATCGGGGGGGGGGGGGGGAACGGGGTGTTGGTGCGTGTCTGACCAATTGTGTTTGCTAATGGGGTGCACTGAATAGTGTGGTCAAACTATGGTGTCTGTTGCACTGCATAGTTTTATATCTATCTATCTGACTTAATATATATTTGTGACTTTATTTGGACTTAAGAAATTTACCTATAATAATAATTTATAAAAATCAGTTTATAAACTTGTAAAGCTTGGATTCATCATGGATTTGCATTTATTAAATGCTATGCCTGTAATACAGTTTCCAATTATGGTCAGCTACTCTTACAGGTATGACAGTAAAATATCTTAAAGTTAGAGACCAAAGTAGGTTGAGCAGCAGTAAGTTCACGGCAACAATCTTCTCCAGGGGTGGACTGACCATTTGGAAACTCGGGCACTGCCCGAGGGCCCGGGGGTCAGTAGGGGCCCCATGAGATGCCCCTGGTACCTTTTTCATAGGCTTTTTTGAGTTTGGGCAAGGACACAGGGGCCCCATGATCCCCTATTGCCCGGGAGCCCCATGAGTTGTCAGTCCGCCCCTGTTTCTGACCAATCTGGCTTTTATGCTTCTAAAGGTATAAGTACGAATTTTCTCCTTTCAGCTTAATTAGCGATGCGCTACCCCATACTCCCTCAAGGAGGCATGGATGTTTTAGAGTTCTCATAAAATCACTTGCAGTTCAGATTAATAGGTTTAGCTCAGGCATGTCAGATTTGCATGACACAGAAGGCTAAATACCAAGCAGAGTATTTCTGTACAAAGTTGAATTACTCTAAATAGGAGCTCCAGGCCCCCCCCCCCAAAAAAAAGCGGCGCAATCTGTCACCGGCCGTGTACCTCGGACACGGCCGATGACAGATCTGAGTACTGGCCCCCGTTGCTGCTACCATGTGACCTGCTGTGACCAATCACAGCAGATAACATGACAGTTGTATACAATGGATGGCTTCATTCATGCCATCCATTGTATACTAGTGTCTAGCTGTGAATGGTCACAGCTAATCACATGCACATGTCATTCAGGTAAATGCTTGCTTATAGCAAAGTAATTCTTTGCTATAAGCAAATTGTGTAAAAAAAAAAAAAAAATACTGATCACTTCCCCAAAGTAGTACAATGTTACTATGGTAACATTGTACTACTTTGGACATAGTGAAATATGAAAAAAAAATCTTAAACAAAAGAAAAAAAATGTAATAAAAAAAAAAAAAAATTATATATATATATAAATTTTAGTTTGGGTACAATGTTGTATGACCGCGCAATTGTCATTCAAAGTGTGAGAGCGCGGAGACCTGAAAAATGGCCTGGGCAGGAAGGTGTAAAATTGCACAGTATTGAATTGGTTAAACATATCCAGTAAAAAAAATATCAAAATTCAAATTTCATGATAAACTTAGGCCAAAATGTATTCTGTGACATGTCTTTGCTAAAAAAAAATCCCAATACGTGTAAATTAATTGGTTTACTTGAAAGTTATAGCGTTTACAAATGGCGGTATATATACTGGAATTTTTTTTTTACTAATAATGGCAGCAATCAACAACTTATAGCAGTACTGCAGGACTGTGGGACTGCAGTGGGCATTCTGACACTGGGGGGAACTGACTTGGTGTCACTGACATCCCAGTGACACCAATACAGTGATCAGTGTAGCACTGACACTGTACTAATGGCACTGGGCAGAAAGGGGTTAACATGAGGGGCAATCAAAGGGTTAACTGTGTGCTGGGAGTGTTTTACTAGGGGACGGTGTGTTGGTGCTTCACTGTAATCACACTGCTCTGGATGACTGTGCTTTGCACAGCCATCCAGAGCAGTGTGACCGAGCAGTGTGACCGAGCCGACAGAGAGGAGGACTGTTAGTAAACAAAACAGCCCTCCTCCCCATCAGAGATCCTCAGTAATCTCTGGGCACCGGCGGGTAATCACCAGCCAGGACTTCCCAATTGACAGTCGCCCCCCCCGCTAATGCAAAATTACATATATATACACACGTGATTTTGCGCACCCCTGCCACCCTGTAGCAGTATATCTGCTATAGGTCAACAGGATTGTGTAATAGTCAACAGTACAACCTAAGAATGCAGAGCTTCCATACAGGACGTTGCTTCCTCAAAAGCTGTTCCAAAAGGAAATTTCTAGGGTAAGGTTATTCCAGCAGAGGGCACTGTCCACACCCACCCATCCACCCATTCTTCCAACATACTGGATTTGGGGTCTTCAATTTCATCTTTTTGTGCAGCCCTCTCCCCGGATTTCAACAGAGGACAAGTCCCATGGGAAGGAAGTCTGCATTAAGAGCAAAGAACCTCCAACACTCTGTAGACTGGGTAGTCGAGAACATCCCCACCCTGGCTGGGGTAAGGTAATAACGATGAGAAGTTTTAAACTGCATAAGTCGATCTCTAGCTGAAATCAAAGAATGAAATGGATCGTCCAAGATATCATCTCAATCATCATTATCCAAGAAAGCTGAAAAGCTTTCTACACAGTTGCATGAGTCTTGGTTAACCACTTGCCTACCAGGCACTTATACCCCCTTATTTACCAGGCCAATTTTCAGCTTTCAGCGCTGCCGCACTTTGATTGACAATTGCGCGGTCATGCAACATTATACCCATATGAAATTTTGATAATTTTTTTCTCACAAATAGAGCTTTCTTTTGGTGGTATTTAATCGCCACTGGGCTCTTTACTTTTTGCGCTATAAATAAAAAAAAAAGTGCAAAAAATTTGAAAAAAAAAAAAGTTTCTTTGTTTCTATTATAAAATTTTTCAAACAGGTATTTTTTCTCCTTCACTGATGTGCGTTGATGAGGCAGCACTGATGGGCACTGATAGGCGGCACTGATGGGCACTGATAGGCAGCACTAAAGGGCACTGATAGGCAGCACTAATGAGGTGGCACGGATAGGCGGCACTGATAGACAGCACTAATGAGGTGTCACGGATAGGCGGCACTAATATGCAGCACTGATAGGTGGCACTGTTAGGTGACACTGATGATGGGTACTGATAGACGGCACTGACTGGCATCACTGCTGGGCACTGACTGGCGGCACTGACTGGCACAACCCCTGGGCACTGACTGGTGGCACTGACTGGCAGCACTGCTGGGCTGCACTGGTGGGTGGCACTGGTGGGCGGCACTGGTGGGTTGGCACAGGTGGGCACAGGTGGGTGGGCACAGGTGGGTGGCACTTCTGGGCACAGGTGGGTGGCACTGCAGAGTGGCACAGGTGGGTGCACTGCTGGGCACAGGTGGGTGCACTGCTGGGCACAGGTGAGCGGAGCTAGTGGGCGCACTGCTGGGCACAGGTGGGCGGAACTTGCGGGTGTCACTGCTGGGCACCGATCATCAGGGCACTGATCATCAGTGCCCTGATGATCGGTGCCGATCCCCGCTCTGACAACTGCCGGTTCTCGGCAGTACTTTCCTCACGATCTGACTGCGTGAGGAAAGTGCAGCCGAGAACCGGCACTTTATTTAACCACTTGCCTACCAGGCACTTATACCCCCTTCTTTACCAGGCCAATTTTCAGCTTTCAGCGCTGCTGCACTTTGACAATTGCGCGGTCATGCAACATTGTACATATATGAAATTTTGATCATTTTTTTCTCACAAATAGAGCTTTCTTTTGGTGGTATTTAATCGCCACTGGGCGCTGTACTTTTTGCGCTATAAATACAAAAAGTGCAAAAAATTTGAAAAAAAAAAAAAAAAAAAGTTTCTTTGTTTCTATTATAAAATTTTTCAAACAGGTAATTTTTCTCCTTCACTGATGTGCGTTGATGAGGCAGCACTGATGGGCACTGATATGCGGCACTGATGGGCACTGATAGGCAGCACTAAAGGGCACTGATAGGCAGCACTAATGAGGTGTCACGGATAGGCGGCACTAATATGCAGCACTGATAGGCGGCACTGATAGGTGACACTGATAGACGGACGGCACTGACTGGCATCACTGCTGGGCACTGACTGGCGGCACTGACTGGCACAACCCCTGGGCACTGACTGGTGGCACTGACTGGCAGCACTGGTGGATGGCACTGGTGGGTGGCACTGGTGGGTGGCACTGGTGGGTGGGCACAGGTGGGTGGGCACAGGTGGGTGGCACTGCTGGGCACAGGTGGGTGGCACTTCTGGGCACAGGTGGGTGGCACTGCAGAGTGGCACAGGTGGGTGCACTGCTGGGCACAGGTGGGTGATCTGCTGGGCACAGGTGGGCGGAGCTAGTGGGCGCACTGCTGGGCACAGGTGGGCGGAGCTTGCGGGTGGCACTGCTGGGCACCGATCATCAGGGCACTGATCATCAGTGCCCTGATGATTGGTGCCGATCCCCGCTCTGACAACTGCCGGTTCTCGGCGGTACTTTACTCACGATCTGACAGCGTGAGGAAAGTGCAGCCGAGAACCGGCACTTGCATTTTCCTCTGATCAGCGTGTCATTGGACACCGCTGATCACGTGGTAAAAGGTCGCTGTGATTGGCCTTTTACCACATCACGTGATCAGCTGTGTCCGTCGGACACAGCGATCACGGAGATCGCCGGGTGCGCGCCCCCTGGGGTGCGCAGGAGAGCGCGTTCTGGAAGGACGTCATATGACGTCCACTCAGAACTGGCCGGCCGCAGTGCAGCCGTCATTCGGCTATCTGCGGTCGGCAGGTAGTTAAAGTGGTAATAAAGTCAGCTTTTGTATTTGTACCTACAGGTAAGCCTGTCATATCTGTAAATATCTCCTAAAAGTGCAGTTTAGGAGAAATTTACCTGTGTAGAGCACCTTCAGAGCTGTGTGCCATAAAAAGTGACTCCCACACGCATGCAACCCAGAAGAAGGACCGGGTTAAGATGGATATCCTGTCACCAATGACAGCGCAGCGCTGGAGGGCTTCGTTTTAATGCACGTTTCACATAATGTGCTAGTATGTGATGCATACTAGCACATTATGCTATTGTCTGGAAGGCTTTTTTTTTTCCTTTTTAGAGGTCACAGTTTACTGCCCCTTTAAAGTGGTAGTAAGGTTAACCCTTCCCCAAAATAAAAAAACAAATAAAAAGGTCACCCCTGCAGCTTATCTCTGCACCGCATACTAGCACATTTTGTCAGATTTACCTTTAGAAACAGATCCCTCCAACGGCGCACTTTCACCACTGACAGGGATTCCATGTTCACTTGGTCTTCTTCTGGACTTGCGGGCTCTGGACCTTTTCATTGGTTGAGCCATGGTGAAGTCACACCCGTACATACTCGGGGGAGTCAAGGCTTTGGTACAGAGATCTAGAGACATGTGCCAGTGACGTCATCAGCTGCTGCTCACTAAAATATCTCCTAAACGGTGCACATTTAGGGGTTATTAATTTTACCTACAGGCAGGGCCGGTGCTTTCACTAGGCAAACTAGGCAGCTGCGTAGGGTGCACTGCCACCTAGGGGAACTGGGACTCAGCACAGGTCGCCGCTCTATATGTGTGGGACGCCTCCACATCATGAATGATCCTCCAGCGACTACAGAGCAGGACAGAGAAAGATGCCCGGTGTCTGGGGCCAGTGTAGCAGCTACGTTGCAGCTCCTTCCAGTGTTGCTCTCAGACTCAGTCCCTTAATGCAAGCTGAGTGGTTGCTGCTAACTATGAAGTTCCAGCCCTTCTCTTCCTATTCATCAGCAGAGGTGGAGCTGTGTCTGTGGAGGAAGGTAATGTCTGACTCTGATGTCCCATGTCTGTGTGAGTGTGACCCATCTGGCCCGCCATCCATCACATGTACAATGTGTCAGTGAGTGACGACATCATCATGATCCCAAAGCCTGCTCTTCTAGTGCCTGCTGGGCCTGCTGATCTCTGTCAGTGTTGGTGGTGTGTTGTGTGGGATCGCTCAGTTCAGGTGTCCTCTCTTTGTGTGTGGGCTGGTCTGCCTGCTGTCACAGCATTTTACCTCCCCCCATCGCCTGGGGAATTCCAGCCTGGGATCCGTCAGATTGTGGATCCATCATCCTCCACTCACTGCAACTGTCACCCTGTCACTGCCAGCCACAGATATAATCCGTCTGTGACACTGATTTTGTCTTTATTATTGGTGCTGGTGGCATATTATGGCACTTATTTGTGCAAATTAAAAGAAATTTAGCAGTTTCATGCTTTGTTGATTTAATATTTCCTACAGTTTTTAAAAACTATTATTTATTTATTTTTCTTGGGGGGGGGGGGGGGGGGTTGCATGTAAATGGTCTTGCCTAGGGCCAAAATAGTCTAGTACCGGCCCTGCCTACAGGTAAGCTTTATTATAAGTTTGCTTGTAGGTAAACATTGCAAAGTGGACTTTACTACCATTTTAAGGGCTTACTTGTCAGGAGGGATTCTACACTCCCTAAGCTAAAAGAGTAAAAGTGAAGCTGAGCACAGCAAGTGTCACGATATAAGGTCAGTTTCAGAGACCAGTTGCTACAGCAGTTGTAAGGCTTACCTGAAACCAGCAGGATTGGTACACCAGCAGCCCACCCTGGGAATGACGCAGGCTCACCTGAGGTGCAGTGTCTAAGCATCCATCGGTCTTCCCCAGAGCTCCTAATGGTGGAGATGGATTTGGCTGCGTGTGAATGTCAGGTCGCAGATCTCAAGATCACCCCACTAGGGAATGAATAGGCTGGAAATCAAAAGCGGATCAAACAGTTCAGGGATCAAACAGAAGCGGAGTCAGTCACAAGCCAAGGGTCGGTCACCAATGGTAGTAGATAGGATGAGGCAGAATCGTAGTCAGTAGCAAGCCAAAGGTCAGTAACGTAGCTGAACACAGCAGCAGGAACAGTAAGCAGGATATTGGCTGGTAAGGCACAATAATCTGGCAAGGAGGAAGTGCATGGACATGGCTTTTATAAGGAAGTTCATGGGAGGAGCAAGGAGTTCAAGGTTCAAGAGAAATCAAGGCACAAGGCAGGATTATCCAAGAATTGTCAAGGGAGCTGTCCAGCGTTCCAGATAGCTCAGTGAGAAGAGACATTGCCTCACACTGCAGAAGGACCAGGTTCAATCGCAGGCTCTGACAGCAAGCATGTCACAATTGAACATAGCAAAATGGGTGTCTATTGCGCAAGGGAATACCTCATTGTCAAAAGAAGGAAATTTACCAACCACAAACACCTTAATCCTATTTGATGCTTGAATAATTGGGTCCGGGAGCTGAATGAGATGCTGGAGAATCGGGGTATATGGGGACTATTTATGAGTGTGAGACAGGGGATGCTCCAATAGTGGATTTCATGGTTCGTGTTAGAAGATAGGCAGCTTTACAGCCTCTATAGAGCAGTGACTGAAATGCTTCATACAAACCTAGAATCATCACCGAGGCGGTAGTTTTGTTTGGCATCAGCCAATTATGTTATTGGGTGACTTGTCCCACCAAAGAGTACTGATAAAAAAACTGGAGAGTGCTAACCCCCAACGACCTAGGAATGTATTATGGTGACTAGATTGAGACGAGGGACCTTTGGTTCCATAGAAAGGAGGACATTAATGCGTCCAGCTGATTAAAAAAGGACATTGGAAGCCAAATCAGAGCATTTCTGAGGATGTACAGTATAAAAATACTAGAAGTATACTCTTTTTTGATTAGGTTCACCTTGCCATTACGGAACAGGGGTTGTGACCTCCAAGTCTCAGATTTAGTCTTGGCTAATTGTAGGAGTGGTAGGCAATTGAGTCTGCAAAATCATTTGTCAGCTGTATACCTAGATATTTTATTGTCATCATTCTTTTTAATGTTTGCTGATAATAAACATATTGTAAATGTAAAGGCCAACTTCAACCCCCACCCCATTTACTGCCCCTCATATATTTAAAACATTTGAAAACATAACTACTGTATTTTTTCAGTCTGGTCACATGACATTATGGGGTTTATTTACTAAAGCTGGAGAGTCCAAAATCAGACTCCCTTCTGCATAGAAACCAATCAGCTTCTAACCTCAGCTTGTTCAATGAAGCTTTGGCAATGAAACCTGGAAGCTGATTGGTTTCTATGCAGAAGTGAGTCTGATTTTGGACTCTCCAGCTTTAGTAAATAAACCCCTATGGGTTCTTTTCCCCTTCTGTCCTTAGCAATCAGTAGGTCCACATTTTGTGATACTTCTCTGCCACATTCTCTTGTGAGTTGGGCGAGAGGGACACCCTTGGCTTTCTAGTCTCTCCAGAAAAGGCTTGGATTATTCTGGGCGTCATTCAATCCGGCAGATCAACACCATCTAATGGTAGAGATCACTTACTGAGGGGGAACTCACTGCAGATAGGGTACTGCATCGAGAGATGCCTGTTCTATTTTTTTTTTTTTTTTGTATTAAGCTGCCAAAGAAAATTTCTGCATCATCACTCCCTTGCATCAAAGCAACACTGAAGCGATAATGCAAGTAGAGCTAAGCTTAGTTGAAATAAAACTGGCCTGTGCTGTAGCAATGGAAGCATCAGAGAAATATCTGACCACCATCTTCAGCTCATTTAGAAAAAGTTTGGGGTCTGTCAGGGGACCGAACTATGTCATTAACTCAGTAAATAAATCTACAGTAATTATGGAAAGACTGACATGAAGATTTATGAGTGTCACTCTGGTCTTGATGGTGATGGGGAAAAAAAACAAGAATAACGACAAAGTGTAAGCCTGATAGCTGCAAGCAATGCATACAAAGAATATTAAAAAAGAGCATAATATGGGCTCATAAATGACCTTCTCACAGTTTACTAACCCACTAATGACTGGAGGGATTGTGTACCTTGCAGACTAAGTCATTTTTTACATTTTGTTCATGTTGAAAGGGTTCACTTTTGACTGTTGAATTCTTTGCTGCGTGGTACATACAGATTCTTTGCCTAGCACAAGTGCTAAAAATGGAAATATTTCTTGTTTTGCATTGATCTTGCCTTCAAAGGTTCCAATCAAAGAGCAGAATTCTGCACCACTGATGTTGTAACGTAAATGTCTATGTGGTAAACTTATGAAGGTCTAACATATGCTGACCAAATAATGGCTGAGAAATCTGGAAGCCTTTTTGAGAAAAATTTACTAATATTTTTATTTTGTATTAATAATATGAAACCCAGTAATCCGTGCAGGGTAGTCAAGACTATGTGAAGACCTCTTTAAATGACTGAGTTCAGATGTTTCTAGTGAAGGGTACAAAGAGATTTTACACAATTGTGGCCTTCCCACCTTGTGGCACTAGTTTGGGAAGGCCCGTTTCTCTGTCTGTACTCTTGTGTACAAAGCCAGCTTTGTATGGTTTTATGGGTCTCCAGTGCCCTGAC